AAAATTTGTCGCGCCGCTTAATCGACCTCACGATCTAAATTACGCGAACGTGAGCTGCGACATCGGCGCGTCCGCTGGAAATCTGGTAATCTCTTTCTATCTCGGAAAGCCTATAAAAAAGCATAAACTGTTTTTAACAACTTCCTACTCCTGAAAACAACTGTCAAAAATTTAACAGGTGTTAAGAATTTAATTTTTTTTGTGTAATGTGAAGTAGAATGCATAATTAATAAATTTAAAATATTTATCTTATTTCTTTTGATAGACATGAAATTTTTACAGCGGTTATATTTCTGCTTTCAGGATTAATAAGGAATAAAGATTAAATGTTAATAACTAAAGTAGACGAACTATTGCTTGTCTGTGTGAAATGTTGTATGTTGTTGTTGATGTTATTAGTAGTATATCGTAAGAACTACTCGTCGTGCCTTCGGAATTCTTTGGCAATGTCCCAAATGGCATTATCGGCGAAGCTTCCGGGATATGTCAAAATTCGGCAAAATCGAATCGATTTTTATCGCGCCAGCAAATGCGGATGCAAAGTGTGTTCTTTTGGAAACTGAGATCCCGGCATTTTTCTCATTTTTCTATTCCCTCATGGCTGTCCTCTTTCTCCTTTTATGCAGTATTCACGACACTCGCGCCTTAATATTTATCGACGACCTACAGTAACTCATCTCCGCATTCTGACATTCGGTTATTTAGCCTTTGTGGTGTAAAAGAGTCGACCTGAGGGGGAATTGCGTGTATTTTTGCAGGAATATCGATTGCGCCGTTTTAATTTTGTTTGAAGCGAGGACGATCGAGATGTATATAGTCGGCTTCAATTGTAGACATTAATACGTTTGATCTTAAATTCAGCATTAGCGTACATTCGCGAATCTATGAATCAACTGTATCTTTATGTGCCTCACCTCATTCCACACGCTGTATTTGACGCTATATTTGGAATAGTATTTCATTTTCGTCATCAAGCGATATTGTTCCAATTCTCGTAGCTCACTCTTTGAGTACGACCTCCAGTACCGCCCTCAATCTGCGGGTTTATTATCCCTTTGATATCAGCACTCAATGACGCAAATTCCTGCAATATTGTTCTCCATCTAGATAATCTCAATTGTGTTATCAAATTTTAATAAACACGCTTCAAGTGTTACCTTGTAAAAATTAAACTGTGTCTAGGATATATTTTATAAAAGGAGAGAGAAGGAGACTAAGAAAAGATTAGATATTCCAGTATTTTATTAAACTCAGACATTGTAAATTCAGACATTGTATACTTCATGATAAATTTTGTGTACTGGAAAATTTAACAAGAAAACAAGAATAATTCGGCAACAATAATTTTATCTTCTCGTTGATATTTTCACTCGCGATTTTTCATAATTACTGAAATTAATTGCCACACCAATTAAACGAGATCACGTCGCTTTGAAATTAATAAATCTTTTCCAAGTTTTCCAATAATTAATTAAATTAAAGGCAAAAAGATTAATCGGGCGACACGAGTTCGCACTTTAACCGACATCCTTTTAATTATTTCTCGATATAATAAGAGGTCTGACCATGAAAAGATGTGTGATATATCGTTAACGTATAAAAATACTCTATATAATTTATGACGCATAATCGTATTGAAATGGATTTCTTGCGCGACCGTCCGACTGCAGCTATCAAAAATTCGACGCCGATTGATTTATCGATGATGTAACGCTGATATGAAGCGAATTTTTTAAAGAGCTCGCGCTGCCTTTAATCGTCATCGAATCGGGAAATGTGTCAACTTCTCGAAATCCGCAACGGATCCAAAACCGACAGTCAGCAGTCAATAACGTGCGCGGGCTTGCGCGAGAGGCTTTTTGTTCCGCCTCGCGCGATATGTCCGACCTGGAAATCGACGTATCCTTTTTGTGGCGGATGTCACGGTGCCATCGCGGCGCATCTGTCGAACCTTCGCAACGGCGGGCAGATTTTCGCCGACAGCGAGTCAGTGGAGTGTCCGTTACCGGGGGAAGACATAAACGTAATTTGAAGGTCTCTACGCCCGCCTGGCCAAACGGCATCAGCAAGTTTTACCGTGACCCGATTTTCCTCTTCCAATGATCATACGAACGCCAGATAATGAACAAATAACGCTGACTATTAACAATAAATTCATAATTTCGTTATTCCGGTACCGAAAACGTACCGGGGAATGTATTTATCATAGAACGCGTAACGAAGGATTTGATTTAATTGCTTTTTACCTTAAATTTTTAATTAATTTCTACAGTTGTAAGATTCGATAATGTTATTTGCCTGGATATTGCCTAACGTTACGTAACGTTACGAGCATACTTGCTTTTGCAGGCGATTTAAATATATCCGCAGTGTGTCTCCCTCGATCAAGAAGTGAGAGAACTTAACGGATTACATTATCCCACTTATGCGACCGCAATGCAGTGAGAGTAAGCCGATAAGTCGTGCCGGCGGGTATATCGATCGGGGAACTACCGCCAAAGTAATCGCGACATTCGCGGAGGAATGCTCGGACAACGATATGTGATATTCGTAATGGTGTTTGCGGGCGATTCGATGGGACTTTTCTCTGAGCGAGCGCGCCGTCCGACTCGAAAATCTCGCGAGGGCGAAAAAAATCGATCAGCCAGCCACAGCCAGCCAGCTTAGATCCGCCTCTCCGACGACGCATCTATCTCGCCACGGTTCTGACCGGTGCCGAACTTTTTTTTCTGTTGCAGAGCCGAAGAAGGAAAAGACTGAACAGAGTGCGAATGGCGCGATATCGCCGAGCGGTGGCGGCGGCGGCGGTGGTGGTGGTGGTGGTGGTGGTGGTGGCGGGGGTGGCGGCGGTGGCGAGTCGCAAGCCGCCAATCTGGGCACGACCGGCTCGACGGTGCCGGTACCGGGCCCGGCCCCGGATACCGGGGACCAGCAAAGCCGAACAGGCCGAACACCCTTGACGCCAGGGTGGTAGCCAGGAGGCTGATCTTGTTCGACAGTGAGTACACATTCGCGAGTATGCGTCTGTTACTCTCGCGTGTCGCGAATCGCGCTTTGCCGTTGCTCAGAGAAAAGTTCGACGAAATCGACAGAAGCGAAACAAGCGAAACGATGTCGATTGAAACAAGCGAAAAGTGGTGATCATGATATCGATAGAAATATCGAGAAAGAAAGGGAGAAGATTTTGCTGGAGCTAGAAACTTCTTGAGAAAATAATACCGTTAAAATAATACCGTTATAGAAATATAACATATAAAACATACAATTTATTTAATATAAATATAAGAGAGAAGATTAATTAGTTTTATATAGATTATATTTAAGCCAGCGTTTATGTTGCCCTCGCTAGGTTTTACATTTTTCCTTCGCATACTTGTAACTTCAATCCATATCTGTAATTATTTTAAAAATTTTCTGCATTTCTTTGGCGGATGCTTATAAAAGATCCGCAAGTGCATTGGCTGACATGTAAACTTGAGTTTATATTCGCTATCGTTATGCAGTTTTATAGAAACTTTTGAGTAAGAGTTTCCTCTCCAGCCTGAGGGTCATCAGTTTATAAGCAATAATAGCATCCTTTTATGCCCGACCAAGAGCGATGAGTTCTCACGAATTTGTGTTACATGAATATGATTATTCTTGAATGAACACGCGCAAAGAAAGTTCTTTTATTAGATTCAGTCCCTTTGACGACGCCCGGTGTTATTTACATCTTTTTAACATTTTTTGAAAACTGGCAAACTAAAACAGAGTAAATATACAAGCTTAAATATACGCAAATCATATCCTTCTCTTAATACTAAATTATCTCTCGGGTACAATTGAAATACAAATACGAAATTTTCCGATCTTTATGTTCCATTGATACTGCACGGAATCACTATTCATACACGTTGAAATTTCCATTAGTGAATCCAGAATATTTTTAACTTCTAAATAATATACTTTGGATGTCAAGAGAAACTTTAGAAATAACATTTTGACTGAGGAGAGTTTAAGAATTTCCTGTTTTCTTTTTTATCTTTATATTTTCCTTTTTTAAGGGAAAATTATTTTTAGAGAAGTGCAATTTCGAGGAAAATTTCTGCGAGAGATTGGGAATATGTATCCAATTTAAGTTGTTAATGGTATACATGCCCGGGAAATACATTTATTCAAATAAGTTTGAGATTAATCGCACTCACACGCACAATGTGAACTCGCGGTGATAATGCGGTCGGTTGCCGAAAATTTTCACGATAAATTTCGACCGGGTTGAAATCAAATATGTGTTGGTGATCAAACGCGGCTGGACGATCCTCGGGGAATGCGCGGTAGTCAAAGTATCTCGCTCGGTATAACCGCCTGGAACTTCGTCCTTTTGTGTCAGAATTTAGGTGCGCGACATTATCAAATGGCTAGCAGCGCGAGAGCCCGCATCCACCAACTTGTTTAACATTCCAGCCGATACTGGTCGTGAGTATAACGACGGGTCGTTATTCATGAAAAATACGTCGGTCTCGAAATGAAATTTCGAGAAGAAAAAGAAAAACAGCCGCGAGCGGCAGCGCCAAATTAAAAATTCCGCCCGCGCATTCCGAGCGCGCGGCAACGAGATGTTTAATAATAAACAAATTCGGCGAAACCGCAAACGATGTTTCGCAAGTCTCACAGCTGCATTGAACACATTCGCGTTCGTTTGCCAAGATATTGTTGCTCCTGCACCGGGATGAATCATTGCTTCTCGCAACAACTGGCTTCGATGCAACTTCATCGGATCGGCCGCGTGCTTCTTTCGCATCGTTATTGATGCGATTTTTAGGCGACTCAGAAATAATTATACATAACACTGCGCCTTTTTTATTTTAACCAGGTATTAATTGTGCGATCGAACTTAAACATATTGATGTTAAAAGAGAAAATATAAACGATTACGATAGAATAAGATTAATTATGTTATTCTACGTCTATTATTATCTCGACGTGATATTACAACCGCCGTTTGTTCTTTCTGCTTTCAGTGGACAAGGGGGTGCTGGATCAGAGCGCCGACAATCAGCAAGTAATCGAGAGGTGTTATCCGTTACCACCTCAGAATACTCTGATGCTGTCGGAACTCCCAGAGCCGCCGATTCCGTTGAGTGAAATCGGCCCGATACCACCCCCGCCCATGTTCAGCTCCCCGAGTCCCACTTTGCTGGCGAGGCAACGGCAAATCCCGCTCTCGGACTGCGAGGACGAGGGTAAGTGTCCGTAACGAAACATTAATGCCATGGGAGAGGAGCGTATTGGAGCAATTAATTGGAGCAATTAATCACATGACGGAGCCCCTCTCCATCGTTTACTAGAACCTCCCTTATTGGCACAGTTTTAAGATGACCGATAAATCCGCGTTCCCAATAAGCAACAACGCGTGCTTTTGCTGTTTCTGTTATTCTGATTTTCAATATATTGCGACATAAAGTTACAAAATTACGGTAACGATGCACATTATTACGGAATTATTTAGTACTGTTTATCTCATTATTGGGAATTTAATTTTGTCGTTAATTATCGGTCTGCGCTAATTGATGGGCGCAATTTCATGTTGTATTGATGCACTTATCCCCGTGATGCGTGTCTAGTTATTGATTATGGATCGTTATGATTGTGCCATTGAATATCCATAAATTAACTCCAACATAATTATATGGGTCCGAAAGAGCAATCGACACGTCTGCGCGTTTAATATAATGCATTTATTTATTAAGCACGAATCACCGAATTTGTTTCAAATACATTTGCTTGAATTTTCCGAGCTTTGGTGGAATAGCCAAATTCGATCTTTTTGCACAATGCGCCCAAAGTTGATTGATTAATTTCCATTAATAAATGAAACGTAAAGGACTGACGTCCATGACGTTTCATCGAAGCTTTTTATAAGTTTTTTTCGACTTGTTTTTTTTTATCACGTGCCCCAGTAGACGAGGAGGACATCGATGTGGAGGAGGAAGAGGACAACATGTACGTCTTCAGGGTATCGCAGCCCGATCCGACGATCGACACGTCTCGTGTCGAGGAGATACCGGCGAAGGAACCCAAGTTCCATGCCGTGCCACTGAAGAGTGTCCTGAAGAAACGGGGTTCCGGAAGTGGGCCCGGCACGCCGCAAAACACGCCGACGCAAGAGAACAGGCCGCTGACGCTTCGCCAGGAGCTCCACGCCTCGTTCAAGTTAGTGCCTTACTTGCGAATCGTAGAATTTACTTTACGTTCGAGTATATCCATCGATGCGGAAGTGTTCGAGTAGGGAAATCAAAGACTCGAGTTTGAAATTACTTCTACTATACGACGCTGGATCGAAGCATTTCGGAGAAGGAGAAAAATCACGCAGCGAACGAAAATATACCGCTCATATAAATCGGAATAATAATTAAAAGGTATAATACGATAGTACGATATTTTTTATCAAAAATTTTTTATCCTGTTTAATACGTTTCTATAAATAATCCGTAATCTTTTATGAGATCCATTTTAGATATTTCATGAGATATTTCATGAGAATCTCGTAGCTCATCTTAGCATTAAAACTTTTAATGGGAAAATTAACTTTTTTGTAACATAGTAGATAATTATTCGACTCGTAAAAGGAAATTCGTAGATCGTATCGCTTTGAATCAACGTGGTTTCGACAGCGTTTAAGAAACAAAAGCGTGGAATGAATGCGAAGCGCAAGTACGCGTGGATTCCTCTCGAACGCTTCGCATCGTAATTCGAAACTCGCCATAAGAATCGGGCGCTCTTCGAGAGTCACCCGACGCAAATTTGTCGGGGTAATCCGCTTTCTGCCTCGACTTTTCTTTAATTAAAAATCAGTTCCGTCCTCGAAAGCTCGCTTTCTCGTGGATCTCGTTGTTTGATATCGAAAGCCTCGGAAAGCATCGAATCGAACAAGCAGGCTTTGAGTGCCTTGCCTCTACCGTAGTATTATTACGCTCGATTGTAATGAAAAGAGTAAGAAGCAGATGTCGAAGAGCCCTAATTTTTTTCCGAACGTAGTCCTTTAATTTCCCGTCTCGCTGCTGGTAGTCTTTTTTGCCGTTGCTCGGGCGAATAACGGTCCCTTTGAACGACGTCAATCCAAATTTATACAGAGTGGCAAACCTTATTTAAAATATAATTTGGCATTAAAGTGAAAGGCACTAAGAGTACGAATATCAGGCTGAAGGATATTAAGCGATATAAAACGATTATCATCGACAAAGTCCGAAATGCGAGACGGATTATTGAAGGGAAACGCTTTCTCAGGCGAATACTCATGAGATGTATTTCGTTCATCCGTCATTAACATGTCAGTCATTAGTAAAGCATCGTATATTTTTCTTATGCTTAACCAGAAGGCCACCGTTGAGGCCTAGGATGAGAATATGGTAATTAGGCACTGGTCTAACTAAGCATGTTTGCGAATACCGCTATATATATACATATATGTACATATATACGTACTATGTATATTGTCTTTTTATATCGTCTTTGTCTTACGGCGCGGTTGATCGCGAGAGAACCAAAATGTTCTAGTCTCTCCACCTTTTCTCTCTCGGTGGTGGTTCCCTTCGCGAGTTACACGCGAGCGCCGTGAGCATGGCAGCGTCCGAGACGTTTTAAGCATGAGAAAACCTTAGGGAAACTCATGAAAAATCTCTCGCCTTACGCTTGTCACGCCGCACCATTCGATCACGCGCGACACACCACGTGAGTCGAATAATGCGCGGGAGACGTAATTTTCTTTCCCGCGTGACCAATCGATCTCGCGAGTCGCGATCTGTCATCGGTCGACGATATCGCTCGCGCGAAGTAACTTGCGCAATTTGTGCGAGTCGGGTAATTGCGACGAGGAAGTGTCGATCAATGCGTGTGTGTGTGTGTGTGAGTATACGACCTTTCACCTGCAATTTTTTTATATTTATCTTTAGCATCGAAACTATTTGATCATTTCGATTGTACTTCATGTGACTCCTTGGTAATCTTGTTATACGAGAGAGCATGTAGTCCTTTTCAAATATTGATAATTATTTGTGACTTTTAAATACCATGTTCTACTCCCAATGTAATAATGGATAAATATCCCGTTGATTTTTTTATGGGTGTTATTATAATGAATATCGTATCCTGCATCGTTTGTAACTTCTTCTTTGTTGTATCGCAGTTTTTATAGACTTAAACTTACGAACGAAATCTTTTTAATTAATATAAATTACTAAACTACTTACTAATAAGTGATATACGAATAATTTTCAAAATAATATTTAACAAAATTATTTATTGAAGGGATAATATGTCTTTTATATCGATACACGTGAATCTTAAGTACGTTATAATAAGAAATGACAGTACTGCTGAAGTTTTTATTCGTATTACATTATTGCAGCTTTGATGCTTTAAGCTCGCCAGCTTTTTAACGTTGAAAACGCTTTGAAAATATTTGACCCGAGGCTACGCTTCTGACGTCACGCATCGCTCGAGAAAAAAAGATAAGAAATTTAGTATTAAAACAAGATGTAATTGGAACAGACCGATATGACACTCACGTTTGAACTTTCACAAAATTTTAATGCGATAATTTCGCAATATTAGTAGCGGGAACGTGGAACGCAACACGAAGAGAAGATTAAAAGTCTCTGACAAATTTTGGAAGTTACTATGATACCAAATGCAAATATTATGAGAGATTCTTTACGAACTCCCGCGAAGAGGGAAAAAAACTTCTTGTTAAGAATATTGCATATACAGAGAAGCGCTTGGTGCTAAATATTCGAAACATTTACCGCTTTCTTAAAAGAAAATTCATCATGATAGCTTCCAAAGTCCAATCTAAAAATCTCTCGAATGCATTGCAAGATAGCGCGCTTAGAAATCGATCCAAGAACAGCGAGTTCGATTTAAACACATTGTGCCAGATTGCAATTTCCATAATTATCGCAACTACTATTCAACAATGGCTTTTCCCCACACTCGCTATTGTAGCTTAAATTTTCGCCGATGAATTTTCCCCGTCAAGCAAAGCGTGTCGAGCTTCGAGCGGTACGAATAATAATAAAGTTGGCGTATGTGGCATTCAATGTGTCGAAGGATAACAGCTGGACTTGGGTGGAATATGGGCGAAATGCAGCGCGAAAGTCTGTCGTTTCACGTGGCGTGCCCCGTTGTTCTCCAAACGTGTCACACGCCACTATGCATCTCTCCACTCCCTTTCTCCTTCGTCTCGGCATATCCCATATTCGCATCTCGTTCTCTTGTAGTACCGTAGAGTAGAACATTGGTTCACGTAGCGTCAACCATCCAAGCGATTGCGTATCTCGTACTAACGATTTTGCACGTCTTCCTCCTCGTTCTTTCAGCAGTCGACCGGTCAGATTCGGCCTTGCTCTACCCTGCACGCTGGAGAACAAGGAGAACGCAAGGCCTTACGTCATCCGAGAAGACGCGGACGGCGATTCCGGCGACGGACAAGTCCTCTACAGAGATGATTACGATGACGAGAAAAGTAAGTGTCGCTCTTTTATCAAATGTCAAAATCCGCGTATTGTGTCCGGTCGTCCTATAAAAACGTCCGCTGATGCTACTGTCACATTCCGTACATGTTTGTTTTCTGTTATGCAATCACATCGATCGTAAGACAGCCCGTGACACAAACATTAGAGAAATTATTAATTATAATTAAAATATTAAAAATTATGAATTTACTATTTATACTATATAAACAATATTTGCTTAATTAAGTATTAATTATTAACGATAAATATTAATTATCCAATTAGTCCGTACAAACTGTATAAAATATGTACAGTGAATATGATAGGCGAGCGATATTGTGGCACAGTTTATATCGCGATAATCAATGTAAATAATGGAATGAATTTCGCAACTCGATTTTTCTCTCGATGTTTTTGGTGCACGTGTTTGCCCCTCGGCAATCAATTAGGCAGATGGTAACTTTATTTTGCCTCGTCGAATTTTGATGGATACTCGTTACGTCATGAAAAAAAAGCAACATAATTGCGATCGTATCGATCGATGAGACTCTCGCGATGAGAGTCAACTCCGCATCGTTTCTCGTGAAAATAAATATACTGGTGGCTCTCAAAGAACTATATCGAAATTCCGCAACTGCGAGCTTAAATCGCGTGCATTGCGATAAAAATGCGCGGTCACGAATGCAGTTACGCGAAAACGCGAGGGCTATGTTTATTTCATGCCCCCGCTCATGCAATTTTCCATCGAGATATGAGGTTTCCAAACTCTCGACGTGATTCGATTGAATGGACTTTCGAACGAAATTCATAAATAGCCCCGCGTGTCGTGTATTCGCGATAAACTCCTCCCTTTTTCACGAGCGAGGAAAAATCGGAAGAAGACCGCTTTAAATCTCGTGGATATAAAAAGGCCAAGTCAGTCGCAGGTGCCAGAAAAAACTTTGCGGAACGAAAAGAGAGGGAAAAAAGAAAAAGTTCGGAAAACTCGGCGGATGGGCTTTAAACATTTGCGAAGGTTAAGAAAATCTGAAAGAAAGTGGAAACTTCGATGTGCCAGCGTCAGATAATCAATGTTAGCGCTCCTCAAGGAGCTTGAGATCCGCATGTTTCCGCATTTAGCAATTCGCTGAACGAATTTCTACGGATGTCCATTTCGTAATTCATTGCGCTGAATGCGTCAAAGAGAATTCGCTCGGTCGCTAAGTGTTCAGAATTTAATTTAAAAGTTTTCTCATTATTTTTATCATGAAGTTTTTTTTTTATATGTACTTTTAGACTCCACCGGTTCTATTTTAGAAGGCATTAACGATTAGTTATTCCTTCGACGAAAGAATTTACATAATCGACGTGCGGAAAGAGAAATAATCTCTCTGCCGAGCCTGGCGCTTATAGCCCGGCGATCACTCGCGGATTAAACGTTGTCTCGCGTAAACATCGCGTTTACACAACATTGATTTTCCCACGATACATCCGCATGATTGTCCAACACTTTAAATCAGTCTTCAGCGACCGAACTAATTATACTCGCGCTCGGGTGTCGCGCGCGCGCGTATGTGTGTGTGTGTGTGTGTGTGTGTGTCTGTGAGCGGACACTTAGGAGGTGGTTTATATTAGACCCCGAAGACAGCTGGCAAGTCGCTTAGTTTCTCGTCGTTCTTCCGTCTGGATTTAGCGCGAAGCGCTCCTCGCTCGCTAAATTCTTGTCAAACGTGGACATGAACGAAAGTGAAGTTACTCTCCTGAGTAAGTCAATCGTAAATTCGCACATCCGCTCGTTTCGAATTCGTCCTCGCGAGAAGGTAGTTGAAGCGATAATTTCGTGTGGTGATTTCACGCAAAGCGTCAGTGGAGGAAGCGAATGGTAATTAATGCCGTCGGAGCGAACGATTTCGATCTTTTCGGACACGCTTTTCGCTTTGAATTCATATTGGTAGAAAGAGAAAGAGGAGAGAGAGAGAGAGAGAGAAAGAGATAGCGATGACACGATGCTGTCAATATGGACCGCGTCGACGATGTCGATCGTCTGTGCCTCGATCGAGCCAGCCGAACACGCCCCGCTGCTGTTGCACCGCAGCTTCAGCTGCTCGTCGATCGTGGAGGGTAATTAATTAGTAATCGTGACGTACGATCGGATGTGAAATTAATTAACATCGATGCGCACTTCAGTGGCGCACGTCTGTGCGAAATTCATTCTCCAGTCTTCACATACATCCAAATTTACATCCATGATGTAATACATTAAATGAAATTATCTTGAAATTAGCTTATTTGCGAAACGTGATTTGTATCGTGAAGCCACGTTTCTTTTTTTGCGTTATTGAGATGCGGATTAATTGGCTAAACGCAGATTCAACATCTTTTGTCTCGATAGGCCGTTTGGCAGCCAAGATCGCACGCAAGGAGTCGCTTTCGCTGAAGCTCGCCCTCAGGCCAGATAGACAGGAACTCATCAACAGGAACATTCTTCAGCTGCAGACTGACAATGAGAGGCAGGAGACGAAGGAGGCCATTGGCGCCAAGCTTATCAGGTAAGAGAATTGTTCTATCGAGTAGCGTTTACGTGATTGCGCATCTGGATTTCGAGTACGCATTCCTCTCTATTTTCGCCAAAGCTTGAAATTGGCACTGTCGTCTTCGTCTAATTAAAATTGCATTCGACTAACAATCTACTACGTCGAGCAATTTCGGAGGAGTAGTTCTCGATCGAATTAAAAAATCGTGTAAATTTTCGCTTTGATCATCAAGCTGTCGGCTAATTATGAAAATATAATTACTGTTAAATATCTTCACGCGATGTAATGAAAGCTCTGTAAAATCAGCGAGTAATCGAATGTCGATAAAACTTCGTTATCTTCTTGCCCTCTTGCAGTTTAATATCGCGATCCAGATAATCTCACTGTTTTTTCCCTTGTTAAAGAATTCATTATTAAAACGATTGTTCAATAATGGAATTGCGTATATATAATTTTTTACTAACGACATCAGTCTGTCACGACTGATCCAGCTTACGTGAAAACGAGCTTGAAATAACAGCTGTCTCTCTCTGAAAAGATTACGCGCGAATAATAGGACAAGTGGTCTCGGCCGCGGTGAATCACATTGTTTGCACAAAGCGGGTACCTTGCTTTCTCGCCTGAGTATCTCTCTCGCTCTCGAAGGAAGATTAAAACGGCCGATGAACTTACATTGATTCTCGTGCCATTTTCATTTCAGGCGGCTGAGCATGCGGCCGACCCAGGAAGAACTTGAGGAGAGAAACATTCTGAAAAGTAAGTTTATTCTATCAATTTCTTCATTTTCCTTGATTGATCCAACGATGATTAAGGATTTTACATTTCCGAATTCGTGACGAAGCATTTGTAATTGAATGTTTTCTACTTTGTCAAATTTTAATTCTAATTCCAATATTTCTTCATTTTTCTTTTTAGAGCAAAGCCCCGCCGAGGAAAAGAAACAGAAGGAAGAAAAGAAACGCTATCTCCTGCGAAAGTTGAGTTTCCGACCGACTGTTGAAGAACTCAAGGAGAAAAAGGTGATTAGAATGAACAAATTATTTTCGTAATTCTCATAGAATTTTATTGCGAATTTTATTGCGCTAATTGAAAGTACATTTTTTAAAGATCGAAATTGTAAAAATAAATGGATCGCCGAGTTTAAGCTTAGCTAATATTTTGTCATGCCCCCATTTTACGGAGGTGCTATTTTCTTTCTGATAAGAACCACTTACACGATAAGGCCATAAAAACGAAAACCGATATACTCATCTCCCTCCCTTCATTCTGCAGATTATCAGGTTCAACGACTATATCGAAGTAACGCAGGCTCACGATTACGACAGAAGAGCCGACAAGCCTTGGACGCGGTTAACTCCGAAGGACAAGGCTGCCATTAGGAAGGAGTTGAACGAGTTCAAGAGTTCGGAGATGGCCGTTCACGAGGACAGCCGACACCTCACCAGGTACTTGACGCACTACGATTTATGGCGAGGTCATTTTAAAAGCATGGTTGGCATCAAATCAGCATTTTGCCAAAATGCCCCACGATATATATGCAGCCTTATAAAAATCGAATTAGAATACGAATAATGAAACCACCTTGAATTACCGAGATGAAATTGTATAATAAAAGTGACAATAAAAAATTTAATTATATAATAAAAGATCTTTCAAAGATTAAAGCCAGTTGAAATTAGTGAAATTTTTCTCATTATTTTCACTTAGTTTACAAAAACTTGTATAATTACCGCTTGTATATAATTGATATATTTTTATAATATTTTTATTAATATATTTAAACTACATATGCGTGTCGATGATTTCGTAATCAATGCTTCTTGTTTTCAATTACAGGTTCCATAGGCCATGACAATTGCAATGTGTTGAGGTGCTACAGTGTGGTGCGGGTATACGTGAAGGTGCAGTGTGGTGGCTTCGTGTTGAGGCTGGGTAAAGAAAGAAGGAAGAAAAAATCGGCTATCGTTACTTCCGGATTTAAAACCGGAATATGCGATATTTGTCCGATCGGTGATTTTTTTGACGTTGTTGCGTCGTGTCATCGTTCGTCGTTGTCGCCAGGTATCATCCATCGACATTTCTTTCGTCATCGTCATTTACATACGTCAACGATGAACGCCATCACAACGTCGACGAAGATTGTGATAGGGTGACTCGCCGCCCCGTCGAAGAGGACTTCGCGGGTCGCTCGCCGATTTCTTTTCATAAGGGTCGTTCACACCCGTGCTTAGCTGAGCAATTCTTCGCGCTTTCTATCCAACTACTCTTCATCTTTATATCTTCGATACTGATCTCGTTAGTACGTGCGTCAAGACGTTTATATTCTCAAAATATCTTGAAAATATTCTTCAAACTTTGCGCGAGAAATCCTCAAATACGCTACGCGCGACTATCTTTTTCTTCACATTAAACGACATCATTGAAACAAAACCTTGACCTATCTTCCGGTTTAGCTTTCAAAAGCTTGCCGTTGTGAAAATCAAAACGCTGTATAGTAAGTAAGACTTTTTTATCGAAACGCTCACGTGTGTCTGCACGTTTATGCTGAATAAGATCGGAAAACATTTCTGGTTACCGTATCATGTCTCATTCATAATTGACACTTCCTGTTATGAATTTTTTAAGTTGTTTTTCTTTGTTATATAATATATTTAAAAATCGTGTGAGAGATGTAAGTACATCTATCACGAGTATGTTTTAGCGATAAAAAAATTACGTGTGACGAAGTGTCACACGGATACATGTATAGATTAATGTATAGGTAAGGAGAATGTATAGATTAATCGCGTGTAAACTAATCACGTTTAAGATTAAGCGTGAGACTTCGGCGTAATTCTATGGAAACTACGAGCGCGCGTGTGAACATACCCTTAACGTGTAAACACCATTTTGCAATCAAGCTAGCTCATCAGTGTCACCTGGCATCGTTGTATATGTAAATGTCTCTAAAATTTCGAATCATTGTAAGACAGACATATGTGATATATTTCGTTGATATCACAAAAAGAATACTCTAACCCTATAATGATTAAACGGGAGATACATCACATGCGATATCTCGTAATGTCGAGAGTAAAGTTTGCTTTAGTTTAAAAAAAATGTTTTAGTATTAATATTTTTATACGTTGACGAATGAACAGCAGAGAATTTCCGCAAAATCATTTCTTGATATAATCCTCGTTTTTAATGATTAAGATTACTCGGCTGACGTCCGAAAATGTGATTTACGATAATTCCATGTTCTTACAATTTTCGCGCGATCCGCGTAGAGAGTATTCATTGCTTGAGATTCACTAACATAATTGCATAGTTTGTTAAGCTCTTCGTACACACCGCGCGAGGAATGAAAACAACCATTCAGTGTCTACGACAATCGGTCGACTGCTCGATCGACGAAACTGTTTTTCTTTACTGCCAGGTATCACTCTCTCGTGGAGCTGCCTTGAGGAGCAAGCGCTTACGATTTTATCTAAAAAAAAAAAAAATATTAGATGTACTCCATTCGTGGGAAATCAGAAATGCATTGTGCAATTAAACTTTGTACAGAAGTAGGTAGCGTGTACATTAATAACTATTATTATCATCATTGTTATATCGATATTATTGCTATAGGGACACTCTATGGTCCTCGTTAATTTCGATCGCGTGCGTGCTTTAATCGCGGAGTGCTAACAAATTCATTATGAGCAGATATGCAGATTATTGTTCCATCTTCGTTGAATGCGAATAAATTTATGATAAAATCTCGTAAAAAATTATAAAGCGCATTTTCTATAAATACATACATTTGTTATGTATCTTAAAGGATGCGTTCGTTTCAATGATCCGGCAATAAAAGAAAGATATATTGTTAAAATTCTGGGGGATCATGGTAATTTATTATGAGATTAATTTATGCTCGCATCAACTGTATCGGAGCGTCAACAATAATAATTATTCTGCTCGTATAAAAGCAATCTGATGAGTCAACAATGAATTGTAGTTCTAAAAATTGTAGTTCTGTCTGTAATACTGATGGAGAAGAAAAAAATGAATTAGGCAGAATTAGCGCTAATTGACGTCGGTGACGACCGGCTCTTAGTATCGAAATACGTTCAGTCCGTTTTTCAACAGATAGTAGAACGAAGAAAAAGTAGTCGCGTTACAAATTGCCATGTTGCGCGCAAATTTATATCTAGATTCTTAGATGATCGAAAGAACGAAGTCCAACGAGAAAGGAGAGAAAAAAAGAAAAGGTAAAAGATGAGAAGGCACGTGCCTCGATGTGCGATGTCTTGCACGCTTATCTCTGAAAGCTTCTTGCATCCTCTTCCTGCTTATCCTATCCAGATAATGCAAAACCTTCCTGCTCACGTCAGCATTAAAGCGACGAAGATCCGTCACATTTCTTGTTTTGGAGAACTGGCGAGCGAAACCAAAAAAAAAGGAAGATTACGAATTACGATCTAGCGTGACAGGCGAATTTATAGCAGCGGTGAGTAAATCAAGTCGCAGTCGACAGTCTACTACTTTCCTCTCCTCGTTTAGAAATCCTAGTTTTTAACGATCGTCCAATGGGGTGAGAGGATCGGTGTGTAATGTGTCGATCTTTCTCTTAACCCGTCGGTGAACTCAGCTGTTCGATATTAATTCGTCAACTTCGAGGTCGTCGAAGGTATAAAGGACGAGACGCCTCTACCTTCGGGAAAATACCACGAAGAAGCACGTCATAAGGAACGTCATAAAATAATGAGCAGGGAGATTAAAGTGTCTCTCTCGTTCCATTGGTCGAGCGCTGTGGCTACCATGTAGTCGACAAATATATCCATTTCCGGATTGCCTGAGTCGGTATGAATGTATATCCATGCGTATGCGTGTGAATAATGTGCATAGAGAGAAAGATGAGAGAGAGATGGAGCGTGTATATGTATATGAGATTACGAACAAATATTTCAGGAAGAGAGTGGTCGAAATTTGGATGTCTCTGCGACAGTCTTTTACCCTGAGCTACGTTCGAAAACGTCTGTATCTTGATGTCGCCCTACATAAAATTTAATAGAGAACGCTGTAAAGTTATACGCACATTAGAAACTAAATTTAGGAAAACGGCAGCTGTTTCTATATTGGAATGTATAGAGAATAGTGTAGCTAATTTTTAATTTAAAAAAATTAAAAAAGTAATTTTCAAGTTTTTTAAGGAAGCTATAGCAATCGTGTTTCATCAAGTGTAGAATTTTCCTTCAAATATGTTGATTCTGGGGAAAGAACGGAATGGAATTCATTCTTCGCGTTATAAAAGTTAAAGACAATTCAATGTCATTAACATTTCTGAATAAATGATTATTTAAAATGAGAGGACTGCATCGACTATGGACGTGACGTTCACGAACGTAGTTTCACATCCCTGAATCTGTTTGAAGCGTCCACTCTCAGAGCGTGGAACAAAGACAAGAGAAGAATAAAAGCACGACATGCGAAACATATGTCTAATAAGGAATGATTTGTGTGTATATATATTAATATATATAAATATATATATATATATATATATATATATATATATATATTCGCATATTGTAAAACACCGTGATAGGAAAGCCCACTGCTACACGCTACACGATATTACGCAATGTGTAAACGGTGAATATTTATAAATACTAATTTTTAGATAACAACGCTCTAAATATGCAAAACAATACACCATATACATATATAAATATTATACATATAAATATACATATATACATAGATACATATGACGCGTACAAGCAGTATGTGCATTTTCCAGCACAGATAGTTGGTATTTTGTGTACAAAACTAAAAACAATTGTTGGACATTTTCTGGATAGAGTTCGGGGCCGCGCATCGTGACGGAGGCAAAGAGATGAAATTACGTAAATCTCCGTTGCAAATCGCATTGCCGAACGATTGAACAACGAGACGATCGACCGATCGACGGCACGGAACGGCACGAACGCGCGTCGCTTATCATCGATCCTGTAGTTATTTCATATATCGCCATCCCATCTGAATGTAATAATATTGTCGTCTAAGTTTAGCGCATTTTCTCTCTTTCTCTTTCATTTGTATCATACTGGACGACACGCGTTCAAGCCGTTCCTCTCTCGTGTTTCGCATTGTGCGTAAGCGACGTACCATTTATTCTGCAAAATGGATCCGAGTAAGTGTGTAGAATTTAATTTTCTATATTCCAACTCTTTATAATATTCCAACCATTTTTCCTTTTGAAATAAGGAAATGTTTCATCTAAGAAAATATAAATCTTTCATGACATTCTCTATAAAAGACAAGTTATATTACTCAGAAGTTATATCTCGCGGTTTGCAGAATAACGGAAGTCCAGCGCGATAACCATAGTAAAGTCAGACTGTAAAAAGAAGAATGAAAGAGAAGGTAATCGAAATAAATTTGCCGTAATCGCGACTGAAAGCAGGCGGACGGATTCTACTTGTATCATAGCATCTTAAGATAGCGAAGCGTTGTAACGATAGTGACAACAATAAAGAAATTGTAATAATTTAAGGACGAGCGTGAGAAAAGAGAGAAGCACGTGAGGGAAGACGCTGTAGATGCGGCAAGATGAACACCGATGGTTCTCCAGTTCTTTAATCCTTTTCGCGAGGCTGAGGAACCTCCGGTTTCACGGCCGCAAAAATAGGCTTAGGGCACTTTCACGTGGGATACTCGTCGCACGAATCCATCGCCGGACTTAGAACTACCAAAAGGAAAACGCGTAAATATCGTTATCGTCATCGGGGGTATGGAGGGGGAGGGGGGGAGATGTCCGTGCGAGAGGAATAAATCAGTTGGTCCCGAGTATCCGACGCAAAGAACGTAAAGCCTAGATTTTTACCAAAATGACTCCACGCCACGCGAGGTGAAAGCAGTTACAATTAGACGTAATTCGAATTTCGTTCTGTTTCATGACTGAGGATTCGCGATTTTTGTCAGAGAGAGAGAGAGAGAGAGAGAGAGAGAGAGAGAGAATGCGTACCTTTAATGAGGAGCAG